GTGCAGTTCACTGTTACCCCTGCAGGAAGCCTTTGCCACACTCTACAAAATGGTGCCTGATGTACCACTACTAGAGTTCTTGATATGCTGGCCAACAGGCGAGGGCTACCTTATCTTGGGTGGAACCTGTAGGATGCCATGTTGTTGCAGTTCACTGCGCCACAAATGAGTTCACTCCCAACCCAATGCATTAGCAGCCCTGTCCCATAGCCTTTGAATCTCTATACAAAAGGGCACTTGATTTGGCTCCAGGGGGGCAGACTGGACTAAGAAATCTAACCTGTTCCTGCACTGCCCATATGGGACCTGTTGTTCTGTCTCTGCTCCTGGTCAAATCAAAGAGACCAGCAGGATGGGCAGTTCTTTGTCTGGGTTCACCTCCTGAGCTCCCGGTGAATGCCCCTTCCCACCTGGTTGCTGGAGGATTTCCAGCCTCCGGTGCAGTTCAGATCGCCACTTGCTGAATGCTGCTGGGGTATCTGTCCCTGCAACACCTCACCATTATGTCTGCTGCTTTCCTGTGTCTGTCAGGCACCAGGTGCCCCTCTGCTGTTGTTCTGTCCTCTCCTATTTCCTGGAATGTGCCCTCTGCTTCACACTGGGCAGTTTTTCTGTTAAAACGTGTCCTTACTCTATTCCACCATCTTGATTCCCCCGAAAGCTGCCTTCTTTATACAGAAATCATCACAACCTTTTACACAATTGCCTTACTTCAGGGTCAAGTAGGTGTTTTTAAAGACAATTCTGCAAATCATTCCACCCCCTGTGCCCCTGCAGCCAGGACCTGCTCAGCTGGCAGAGTACCTGAGGCAGCCGTACATTCCTACTATATTTCTTTCACAACTTGTCGTTTGAAAATATCAAAAAGGAAAAATCATAAGATCAGAAATAAAAAAGTTTAAACATAAATTCCCATTACAACCATGTTCACAACCCCTTAATCAGTTTGAAAGCATGTTTCCATGCTGGAGTCCGGGTCTAGCCGAGTTCGGAACTCGAGAAGGGTGTGTGGAGTAGCCGCTGAAAAGAAATGGACCACCTTGATTTCATGGTCATAATGGACAATGCAAGAAAGCTGCCCCTTTATTTACACAGAAGCAGTCACAAGCGCTGGCATAGACTTTTAAAGTCATGGTCAAGTGGGTGTTTCCAGGGATAATTCTGCCCTTTGTTCCACCTTAAAGTGCTCAACACATGGTGCACATCAATCAGTAACACATTCCTGCTACAATCCTCATTCTACAACTTAATCTTGAATCAGTTAAGGGAGGAAATGCATCGCAAAAAAAGGGGGTACCTAAAGACCAAGGATGGTCAAATGGGGGCAGCAGAGACAGCATGAGTCATAAAAGGCCCTTTTGCAATCATCAGGACATTCACCTCCAAGCTCACATTGATAGTAAAATAAAAACCAGTAAACAATCCTGAATGGCTTACAGAATTCTTCCGCAGGTGGTCATGTAGAGAGGTGGAACTGCCTTCAGGTGGTTTGCAGAGACATCCGTGGGGCCCTGCCAGGCAGTGGGAAATTCCTTGCGGACTGCGGACGGAACAGCTTCCCACACGCCGTCCTGTCCTCCAGACCACTGCACGGACCACAGGATTTCTGTTAGTGCAGACATGCTGAGCCCCTCCGGCTGAAGGCCAAGGCAGACGCCCTCTCCACGCTCAAACACGTTAACCCTTCAGGTTACAGCGACCTCGTTCGTCACCATAGCTTCAAGCGCACTCAGGCGCTAAGTGGATTTCTCAACTCCCATCGTAACTTATCAAGCCATTTCTCAGAAGGCACGTTACATCCCTGGGCCAGGTCACACAATAAGGTGTTCAGGAACAATTAAGTTCAGGACTTAGCTGTACTCCTGTGTGCACTGATTCTCATACATTGTAAAGGCTCACTCACCTGTTATTATTGAGATAAGCGCCTAAGCTCACATCAGTTACAGAAACCATCTCATGTCCACGCGAAAGGGTGAGGCTGTGTTGAAGTGGTTGCAGAGACATCCTCCAGGTCTTGCTGCACAGCTGGAAGCCCCTCCCGCCTTGCTGGCAGAGAAGCTGTTCCCTTTACACCCCCAATGCAGGGCTCCTAGTGACTTGCAGTGGCAGCAGCCCATGCTGGAGTGCTGGCTGGAGTCCTGGCTGCTGTTTCCATTTTCCTGCTCAGGCAACTGGAAGGCAGCAGTCAGTCAGAATAGCTGGGCCCCTGCCACCCACAGGGGAGAGCTGGATGGATGGCCTTAGCTTCACCCTGGTCAAGTCTCAGCCACTGTGGCCACTGAGGAAGCGAATCGGTACATGGAAGATCTCTCTGTATCTCTGCCCCTCTGAATTTCAAATAAACACATCTTTCAAGAAAACAAAATTCAAAAAGACCCCAAAATTAACAAAATATTCCCAAAATTGAAAACAGACTTCTGGGCCCAGTGCAGTAGCCTAGTGGTTTAAGTCCTTGCCTTGCACATGCCGGGATCCCATTTGGGTGCCAGTTTGTGTCCAGGCAGCCCCGCTCCCATCCACCCCCCTGCCTGTGGCCTGGGAAGGCAATTGATTACGACCCAAGCCTTGGGACCCTGCACCCACATGGGAGACCCGGAGGAGGCTCCTGGCGTCAGACTGGCATAGCTCCAGCCGTTTAGCTCACTTGGGAAGTGAATCAATGGATGGAAGATCTTCCTCTCTGTCTCTCTTCCTCTGTGTATCTGACTTTCCAATAAAAATAAATCTTAAAAAAAAAAAAAAGGCTGCACAGAGCAGCAATACAGGAGTCTGAGGGAACAGGAAAACACTGCCATCTCCCGGCCATGGGGTCTGGGACACTTCAGGGGACAAAAGGAAGGGTGTGCCTTCAGGTGCTTCTGCTATCTGATGGATGCAGACGGAAACCTGTCTCCAGGACTCTGGTCATGCACTCCCTGTGCCAGCTGACCTTGGGTTCTGGCAGGGCCCAGGCCTCTTCCACGCTGACCTCAGTGCCTGCCAGGGGCTGCTGCAGCTGTCTACATTTAGTCACCAATACCTGAGCGATGCCTCTTGCATTGCTGACTGGTTCCTAGGGAGCTGGGTAACAGCAGATTCCCAGGCCCCTTGTGGCCCTGAACTAGATGCTGTGGGGTGTGGTGCTTGGAGTCTGGCCTTTGGTTTCCTGAGAAATCAATCCACTTTCCCAAAGACAGAGGAGGGCAGCACCCCAGGCCTTAGCCTACTAACTGGCTCCCTGAGTCCCTTTGTTACTAACTCCCCAGTCCCCACCTGGTCCTTTCATGAAAGCGAGACAGGGAGTGACTGGTCTGGACATGGTTCCAAGGGGACTGGGGGCGGGGAGCCCTTGGGGATGCCCGTGTGTCCCTTTAAGAGGCTCATTCCTGGCAACTGATGCTCAGGTGGGGCCCTGGGGAGGCCCTGAGGGAGGGAGGAGGCGAGGACTGGCCAGGATGGCTTGGAGGATTGTTGGACAAAGCCGGGGTCACTGGCAGAAGTTCCAGGCCCCCAGCTGCAGGGATTCTGCCGAGGAAGACCAGATGAGAGGCTGAGTTCGAAGGTCAGTGGCTCCCGCGTCTACTTGCTTCTCCCCCGGGCTGTGTACTTGGCTTGTGAGGTAGACACTGACAGTAGACGGCAGTCATTTCCCTAGGACGGCGCTCAGGTCTTGCTTGCAGTTCTGCTTCCACATGGCCCCTGAAAGCTTCCTGGCTGTCAGGGAGGGTCGCGCAGCAACACATCTCCCTGGAATCTGGGGGCTGTTGATTCACTTTCTTCTACACCTGGGGAGTGTGACCTTTCACAGGTGGGCCGTTCTGGTCCAAGAGTAGCCTCTGTGCAATGGGGTCAACAGTCACATGGACACTCTGGGACTGCCCCATGCCCGGGTAATTTGGGGCAGGTCGCCCTCACCCCGAGTTTATTCCTCATCTATATATGGGACCAGCCTTGCTGGGCTTCTGTGGCTGCAGCAAGGTTAGAGGCGCTGCAGACATCAGGTGTCATGCCGGCTTTTTTTTCCCCTTTCACAAGGATTATTACAAGAGCCTGTTGCATTGTTTGAATAATAAACAAGTCAGGCTACAGGGCGCATGTTCAGAGAGTACATTGGTATGGGGAGTGGAGGTTGTGTTGACTCAGGCCCCTTGGGGACATTTCCTTGGGCAAAGTGGGGATAGGGATGGCCTTCGCCACAGCACTGCCCATCTGGCAGCGTCGGTGGTTCAGCCCTAGGTGTGTGAAAACATGAATTAGTCAGTCCCCTGCCCTGTCAAACTGGGGTGGGGGAGCAGTCACACTCATAGGGGCCTTAAGAGACTACCTGACCCCAACCCAGGAGTGTGGAGAGCAGGATGGGCTTAGCAAGGGCATCTCAGTACTCAATCCCCTCCCCAGTTGGCAGTGTGCTGGGCCAGGCGGGTGGGTCCACTGCATCACCTGGTGTCCACCTTTTTCACTGAGCTTGCCTCTGGCATCAATTGTCATCTCTGGCTTCTTGCTAATGAAGATCCTGGGAGGCAAATGTGATGGCTCAAGCAATGTTGGATGCAATTACTGAATTCCTGCCTGTGGACTTAGGTCCCAAAAGCTGGCACATGTGGGAACATGAGGGTGCACTCAGAGAACTGTCCACCAACCCCGACACTTGTTCAGTGAGGCCATTAGCAAGGTTGGGGAGAGATCCCAGAGCCGGTGTATAGTCAAGCTGGAAGTAGAAGTGAACGTTTCCTGGTGAGATCAGGCAGCCCTTCATGGCCCAGTCCTCCAAGGGACGACCTTAGAATTTGAAGGCACCTGGCCAGGTTGAGTCTTACTTCCATCAGGAACAAGGTGGCACTAGGCAAGTAGCATTCTTTCTGGGCCCTCTCCCTATCTCCACCAACCTATGGTCATCCCTCCTTCCCTGTGGTTGTCACTTCCTAACCAGAGGCTCGGTCTAGCAGAGGTGCAGGTGCAGGTTCGGCGGCAGGCAGGCGGCAAAGCCTGCGTTCATTTGCTTTGATTCAGCAGCACATGGATGCAGCAGGCAGAAATGAGTTTATTGCATTAGAAAAAACATCAAAGAACACCAGCCCACACCTCCATCCCAGACAGTTACTAGTTTGACTTCGAGGGCATCAATGCATTCCAGGTACAAGCTTTGTTTCTGGGAAGGGGTGACGGTCTCATCCCTCCTCCTTCCCTGTCCCTTTTAACCCACGGACCTCTATGGAAGTGTCCACTCTGACACAGAACAGGACTCAGTATCCACTCTGCTCGCCCACGCATGTCCACGTGGAGTTAGCTGGTCACAATGGGCATGCTCCTGAGGTTCTGGGCAAGACAGAGCAGGGTGAAGGCTGGCTGGGAGAGGTCCTAGCCTGAGCCTGGGCTTCTATAGTGACAGGGGGACCTGCCTGCTGGGGTGGGCGGGAGAGCTTGCCTTCCTGCAAAGGTGCCTCCAGCTCCCATAAATCCCAGGGCACAGCACATTGGCACGGACACTGTGGGTGTGAACAGGTGCTGTTCAAGAAAGTGAGTGACTCAAGATTGTCCTGGGGAGTCACTGGAGCTAACTGTTCGGAATGGCACTGTGTCCAAGAGTGAGTGGCTGAGCCTGTGTGTGGGAGAGGAGAACAAAGCCCAGTGTCCTCTGGGGACAGAGAGCCCTGGATGGAGCAGGGTGGGACAGGAGGCTGGGAGAGACGGGCCAGACAAGGCTGGGCATGGTGGGCAGCAGAATGATGGCCTAGATCAACTTTCCTGCCCTCCCAGGAGAAACTCAACCCTGCTACCAGGACCAGCATTAAACAATGACTCCTGCCAGTTCTGCTCTGCTGTCACTGTGTGCACACTGCGAACGAGTGCATCTTGAGAAGAATTAAAACTGCTCATTTGTTTGGCCTCTAGTCTTACAGTTCCAAAACGTCACTGGGGCTCCCGGCTGGACAGGCCCCATCGGGGACAGTGACGCCAAGGCAGAGGGACCTCTCTCCCTTCAGCTGAAGCTCTGATAAGGCCAGCTGATGGCAGGGGAGGGGTCAGAGATGGGCGGCAACTTTTCTGGAAGGAGAAACACAACCCAAGCCTGCAGTGATAGTCACGGCAGGAGGGGCCCGAGGTGGCTGTGGGTGCCTCAGGCTGCCTCAGCCCCTTCCTCACGCTGCCTTCCTCAAGGTCCGAGTTACGGGAGCCTCTTCAGACCAAAGACTGTAAATTGTCAGCAGCAAGTCATCAGGAAAATGCCCAGTCATGCTTCCTTAGAGCCTGGATGATAACAGTGACGGTGTGTGCCTTCAGAACACACTTAGGGCAGGGTCAAAGTGTCTAGTGGAAACAACACTACATTTTCTTGCTACCTTGATTCTGCGTCATTAATTTTTTCTACATCAGAGATTTTTTTAGAGCAGGGCATCACACCCTCCTGGTCCCTAGCTGAGACTGCATACTGGTCTAGATGGGAGGTTTTAGGGACTGCAAATGACTCGCACCATGATTTGCAGGGTAAGGACCGGGTTCTGCCGCTGCAGCCCAGACCTTCATCAGGCGTGCCAGGCATGCCATGCTGAGGAAGTGTGGCCTGAGGGCAGCCATCAGATCCAGTGCAAGGAGAAATGGCTTTATCCTGTATTCTCTGGTCTGATCCTTGCTGTCACTCTTCCAGCCGCTCCAGCTCTGGACCCATAGCCTAATGGGGCCAGGGGAGCGGAGGCAAGATAGGTTGTAGCTAAGAGTTCACTGAGTCGGACTAGTCATTCTGTACCAAATCCTTTGGTTCGTCTACCTGCAGAAGGAAGCTGCTCTTGGGTCATGGATGTGCTTAAACTCCCCTGGGTCCCACAGGGTGACAACCTGGGTCAAAAATGGGTATTCTCTAGAAATAACTTCTAGGCTGGGGCTCCCCCAAATTGTGCCTCTTGCTTTCTACTTAACCAACCTCCCTCCCTTTCTCCAGGGTGGAGGACGCTTAGGAAACAGCGTCAAAAGTGAACTCACAGACAAGACAGCCTTAATAAATTAGTGTAATACTATTGGAAGGGTGGCATTTTGTTCTGTTTCTTAGCAGCATTGTCCTATGTGCAGCCTGGTGATCTCCTTCCCTGGGATATTTAAAAAGCCGTCCCCTGGTTGTTAGCTCTGATGTAAAATTATAAAATAGAAATCTGGTAGGGTTTGTTTTGTTTAAAAAGGAAAAGCCCTGGTGAGGCAGGGCGGTCCCATGTGGTCCTGTTAGCTCTGGCCGTTGGGTCTGCCCACGGAGTTACCCCCAGGAGGCTGGATCTGGATGGAGTCCAGGAGAGGCCGAAGCGCCTGTCCGAAGGGCCTGCGGGGAAACGGAGTCGTGAGCTGGCGTGGCTCTGGAAGGCAGCCTGCCCATGGCTGAGGGAGGTGGCCCCTGGTACTTCATTTTACATCCTCAACTGGCTCCCGCACCATTTTCTCTGGGAACTTGGCGGCCGACTCTGCCTTCTACTCCCAGTGCCTGGCTGCAGTGAGCCCCTCCACCTCCCAACCCAGGAAGCTCTGCTTGGAGCAGGCTGGCTAGACGGGCTAGGCTTTCTGTACTTGAGGCTTGTGTATTTCTAATTCTTATAACCAAGAAGATTAAAAGCAAAATTTAAGTGAGGAATCTGGGACAAAAGGAAAAGGCTCTGGCACACTTCGGGCTTCTGGTTTCCTTCAAGGACTACGTGGTCTATTCAGGAGGAATGACAAATGCCAGGCTGCTGGAGGGTGTTGTGCCACTTTTCCAAAGGGCTCCCAGTTTGCTCTCTTGCTGACTGGACTGGAAAAACCAAAGACACCTTGAATAAGGTTGTCACACAGCTCTTGGGCCCCTGTATTCTCTTTGGTGGATATTTCTGTCTTTGAGGATGAAGGGAATAAAGTGCACCAAAGTGTAAACAGAACCCAAATCACTAACCCAGCTCAAGTCCAGAAGTTCCACCCAGCAGACAACAGCAAGAACATTCCAGCTTCTTGGGTTTGCTCTACGGCCTATAACCTAGATCCTTCAGTGGGGATCTGGGGTTCAACACCCCCCAAGGACCAGGAGGGCAGGGCCAGGGTTAGGAGACTTGGGGCTCCTCAGCAGCTTTAAGTCCTACGTAAATATTTTGTGAGGTGTGGAAAACACCTCACCTCGCCGAGCCTGCTTGACCTGTGGGGATCCCTGTCAGACAGGACTCCAGAAAAAACCAAGTCAGTTAGTCTAAGCAAATGGACACAGTCCTGGAGTAGGCAGAGGCTGCCGGAATGCAGTACATAGCAGCAAAGACAGCTTATAGAGGCAAAGGTGTGTGTCATTGCGGGGAAACTGCCTGCTGCCCTGGCCTACAAGGCCCCTCCAAGACTAAGGCCAAGCTAGGGCAGAAGGGCTGCCAGGAGTCCTTGAGGTAAACACCAGCTGGGGGCTGACCGCGTGCCAGGCGTGAGGTCAGGGAAGGACATGGCCGTAGAGGGACTTGAAAGTGCTCACGGTGCAGTGGGAGAAAGTGAGTCCCAGAGCAGCCACTGCCCGTTGCGCCTCTAACGCTGCGTGGGACATGCGCATCTGAGGAGGGCCACGCTCTGGGCACCATGGGGAAACGAGCCAGGGCTGTGTATAAACAATGAAACTGCTGTCACGTTTGTGGTTCTTGGCCAGGGCAGAGCTGGCCTAACCCTGAGGAGGTGGCAGTCACGTACGTGTGCAGATGGCTGGGGAAGTCTGTCCTAACCAGGACAGGGCCAACACGGACCAGAGATCATGACTGGGGGTTTTCAAAGCTGGCAAAGATGGGCACTGAGATGCAGCTTGACTTACGTAGACAGGACTTCAGAGGGCAGGTCAGTGATGTAAGAAGGAATCTTCCGCCCTGTCAGGAACTGTGCCACTTCGTTGCTGAAGGTGTTACAGTTGTGTTCAAAGAGGTTGTAGGCCTCACCTCTGTGCATCAGGAGAAAGGTTTGGAGAACAGATATGAGAAAGTTGGCAAGCACCCTGTGGAGTGATACCTCAAGCTGCTCCGGTGGGGTAAGCATGCCTGGGTGAGGGCCGTGACCTCCCCTAATATCACAATACCCAGGGCTGGGCCAGCCTGAAGCAGGGAGCCCACAACTCCATATGGGCCTCCTATGTGGACAGCCAGAACCCCGGCACTGAGCCACGGTCTGCTGCCTCCCCAGGCAGTCACAGGGAGCTGCATTGGGACCTGAGTTGAACTCAAACCAGCCAACCACTGTGGGATGCGGGTGTCCCAAGCAGCAGCTTAACCAGTTCTGTCACAGTGCTCATCCCAAAAAGGGATTTCTGAGAGAGGGAGAGATGAAAATAGGTGACTCCTATAGTTTCAGGGGCCTCCTAGTCACAAAAGCAGCACTTTGCGGTTAGGGGGTTAAGCCTCACGGAAATCAACCAAAGCTGTTTAAGAGAAATCACGCTCAAGTCCGTGTTTTCCCCCAGCTCCCTGGGAAGCCTGCCCTCTTCTGACGCTTAGGACCACAGAAGGCCAACAACAGCATCTGCTGTTTCAATCGAAAGGAAGGAGCAGCCTCTTTCTTCTGAAATCTCAGCAGAAAGCATGTGGGGATGGGATGTCCGCCTCGGAACCAGACAAGCTCCCGGTCACTTCCCTCCCTTTACACACACACTCTGCAAAAACTGGGCCAGGTCTGAGCTGAGAATTCTAGGGCATCAGACACAGCGGCTGCCCTCCAGAGACCGAACAGGGGAGGCAGACCCAAGTAACCTGACCCCTGTCCCCACTCACCGGAACAGAGACTCCCCCAGGGAGGACAGGTACTCCAGGAAGATTTCTTCTGTGACTTCAGTGCTCCCCACATCAACCACAGAGTCTGGAGGCCCAAGCAACGTCCCTCCCTAAAAGAGCCAACCCCCAGAAAGTTATTAAGTAGCTGTCTCTATTTTTGACGTGGCTTCCTAGTATAGCCCAGTGTTCTGTTCCAATAGCTTCACGTTTCCCTTGCAGGGCACCCTGGGTGCGTGAAGAGCATGTGGAGTCCTCTGGCTCAGGGCCTCCCAGAGCTGCCCTCCTGCCTGAGCTAAGCAGTCAGCCTCTTGGTTGCCAGCAGGGCCTGGGAGGCTGTTTCTCTTGTAGATCTGACTGCACTTGCCATGGCCACTCTTTCAGTTGGCCAGGAGCCCTTTTGTCCCCAGTGTGCCTGGTCATGGGCACAGACCTGAGGGGTCGCCTCCCAGGGCCCATGTTTGGAAAGACCCAGCCAGGTTTCTTGGGACACATTTGATGTCCCTTGTAGCAATGGGAAAACTGAAGCACCATGGGCTGCCTGGCACCATTTCCAAAAGGGGGTGACAGAAAAGCCTGGACTCTGGAGGAAACCTTTGGCCATGGGACTGACAGACTGCACAGAGTCAGAGGCTGGAGGTGAGGGGCGATGAGCCACAGGGGAAGAGATGGGGACACCGCAGATGACAGACCTGGGAACACGGTGCACTTAGAGCATGGCTCCCTGCAAGACGGCTGACACCTCCCCAGTGGCTGACACTTCAGGTGGCTTCTTGGGGGAAGGTGTGGCGAGCAGCTAGGTAAGCATGGTAGTTGGGTAATCATCTGAGTCGTAAGAGACTCAGTGATCAATGCCTGACCCCTGACCCTTGGCTGTGTCACAGATGTGTGCTGAGGACCCTCTCTATGCTGTGCCTCCCGTGGACAAAACAGCGCAGGTTCTTGCCACAGGGCCTGTCTTCAGCCTATAACCCAGTGTATAATAAAGGGGCTGTGCTGGAGAAAAAGCCCTTGGTGCACACAGCAGCAGACCTTCCCAGGGTGACGGGGAAGAAGTGACACTGAGACAGAGCCTCAAGGATGGGGCGGCACACCCGGGTGAAGGGGCAGGGAGCCAGACTAAGGCTGCACTACAGATGTGCTGTCCAAGGCGTGCTGAGCAACGGGGAGAAAACAGGGCTAGAGATGTGAGCTCAGACGGGCCCTGAGAGGCCTTGGAGGCCAGGCTGAGTGTTCTGGGGAATCGGAGTCCACATAAGGAATGCCACAGTCAGGCATTTGCTCTGAAAAGGAACTGCTTGGTCTCTGCTTGAACACCTGTGACAACCTTGGGCAAGTTCTGACGGGGCTTTCGGACCAGGGCCACTGACCGCCTCCGTGCCCAGGGCACTCACCGTGTGTTCCCCACTGAGAGCCCAGCCTTGGGCAGCCTCAGCTCACGAAGAGCTTACAGACACCTCCCCAATAGTATCCTCAGTGGGACAGGAGAATGCACAGGTGCCAGAGTGGAGGCATCTGGGAGAAGATTTTCTTAAGCCAGTCTTAGAGCAGTCATGAGGAGATGCACCAAGGCCAAAAACCACAGGTACTGGGCCAAGAAAGCTCCTAGTCTGTGGGAAGCCCAGAAATCCGAGACAAAAGGATAGGGGGACACTCACCGGGGGGCAGCTGGAGATCCCACCGCTGCCAAAGAAGAACTCGTCCTTGTGCACGACTATGGAGGTATGCCTGCCAGAGAGACACGTGAGCCAGACCCCGAGCACTTGTAGGCGTCGCCCTGCGCTGAGAATTGTCCCGCCGCAGAGGACGGTGGGCACCAGGGTCATGAAGTCAGCCAGTGGAGTTAGAGGGAGTCAGCCCTTCGTAGCTGGGGAGTGGCTCTAGGACCACCTTCCTCCTAAACTACCAGATCCCTGCCATAAAATGGTCTGGAGTTTGCAAAAAACACACACACGTCCCTCCATGTGCTTTGTCCCTCCAAGGTGACTTGTAACATCCAGGGCAACAGAAATGCCATGTTACGAGAGTTCCAGCATTCCGTCCAGGGAATAATGACAAGAAAAACAAGTCTGTAGAGGCTCGAGGCAGACAACATTTCCCCCAAATATATCTGTGGATGTGGAATTTGCCAGGGGGCAGGGGGAGCTGGCCGTGTCCCAAGCCAGGGTTTCTCAGCCTTGGCATTATGGGCATTTCGGCCGATCACTCTATGTGGTGGGGGCTGCCCTATGTTTCCAAGGATGCGAGCCACCTCCCTGGCCGCCCCCAGATGCTAACAGCAACCACCCCCAAGTTGTGGCAACTAAAAATGGGTGGGGACATGTGAAATCACCCTGCTAGGGAGCGTCTGCTGTGGGGCCTGGACTTAGGGCACTGAGATCTATGATACTTGCAGCCAGAAGGCACACCCGGAACCTGGCATGCAGAGGGTGTGGCTGTGTCAGAAACCCATCCACGTAAGGAGTCCCGCCCTCCCTCCTGACTTACCAGATGCCTTCCAGCTGTTTCCCTGTGGAAAAAAAGATGAGATTTAGCTACTTGGGATCACGCTGAACTGCCCCATCTGTCTGATTCAGTGTATCACGCAAACCTGGAGGAACCAGGTGTTAACTTCCTGGGGAAGCCCGAGCTGGGGACAAGGATGTGTTGCACCAGGGAAGCTGAGAAGTTAGCAGAGCCCTTCATCGGCAGGCAGATGAACACACCACACGCACATACGCCTGGTGGCGTGGCACCTGCTCTTCTCTCAATTTTCCAAGTTCTGTTTCCTCTGCATTGAGACTGTGAGAAAGCAAGAGAAGCGGCTGCTCACTGCCTCACTGAGGTGACACCTGTCAGCAAACAATACACTAAGAACTTTGTAAATGGTGCCCCTTTAGACAGTGGATGTACATCCATTCCATACGCCCACGTGTCAACAACACGTCAAGTGGAGAAACGCAAACAAGAGTAGACCACCACCCGGCACCGGAGGACTACAAAGTGGAAAGGCACACACAGGAGTAGATAATTAACTAAAAAGACACATGGCTGATGCCCTCTATTATAGTGGTAAAAGATGCATTATACAAAAAAGGGAAAACCAAAGAAAACCACCTCCAGGAGTGCCAGTTTGAGCAATAAATGACAAACATGGCAGGGTGGACACCTGGTAACCTCTGTGCAGGTGTACAGCGGGAAGGGAGGAGACTGAGGTCCTGCAGGGGGTGAGAGGCACAGGGGCAGTGATGAGGCAAGATGGGCGGCAGAGCTGCAGCGAGGAAGGCCAGGCCTGGTCGAGGCCGCAGGGTCTGGATCTGCCCCAGGCTCTTCTTTTTTTCAAATTCTCACTTAATATGAAAGGCAAGGACAACTGCTGCCATTCCCGCACCCAGCCGGCCAGTGAGTGTTGGCTTGTGGGGGCCTAAGGATGTGGGCAGGGTGGCACAGGGCATGTGGTGCTCTGGGAGCTCATGTCTAGGCAGGTGCAGCAAAATCAAGGACTTCCTCATGTGCTTGGTGCTGGAAGGGGAGGGGAGGAGAACCCCAGGTCAGCACGCTCCCTGGTGAGCTGGGGGACCAGGTCTGGAGAACTTCAATGGGCCTGATCTTGAGACTCTGGTGAGTGGGCAGAGCTCCGGACCTGCACACCACCCACTGCGCTTCTGAAGGTTGGGCTGGAGAACTCATGCGCTCCTGGGCACAAGGATTGTGGCTTGATTAGGGAAAGGGGCAAGGGGCCACATGGCGGAGGGAGTGTGTTGTAGGTGAAGAGTGACATCTGAGGGACTCCCAAGGACAATGCCACTAAACTTGTAGGTGAGCGAGGGGACTGAGACCTGGTGGTTACGAGGGGAGAAGACAGAGGACCTTTATGGGTCAGACGATGCACCAGCCCACATGGGAGACCTGAGTTGGGCTGATCACCACACAACAGCCTACACGGAAGCTAGGGCTGAGTGTTGGAATATGGAACAGGTTAGGTTAGACCACAACACTAACCAGCACACAAGAGAATCAGGTCCAGTGGCAGATTCTGTGGGAGATATGTGGGCCTAATCCTGTGGAATTACAAGTCCCGTTGGTTAGTTTAAGAGTTGGGGTAGTGGGCCCGGCGCAGAGGCCTAGTGGCTAAAGTCCTCGCCTTGAGCGAGCCAGGGATCGATCCCCTATGGGCGCCAGTACTAATCCTGGCAGCCCCGCTTCCCATCCAGCTCCCTGCTTGTGGCCTGGGAAAGCAGTTGAGGACGGCCCAAAGCCTTGGGACCTGCATCTGCATGGGAGACCCAGAAAAGGCTCCTGGCTCCGGACTGGCTCAGCTCCAGCCATTGCAGTCACTTGGGGAATGAATCATTGGACAGAAGATCCGTTCCTCCTCCTCTCTGAATATCCGACTTTGCAATAAAAAAAAAACAAAAACAAAAAAACCTTATATATTAAAAAAAAAAGAAAAAAAGAGTTGGGGTAGTGATGGGCTGAGCTAGGCCATGACCATGGGACCTGCCAATACTTATGGGTAATGGGGCTAGAGATAGGCTGGGCAGGTCCAGGCTCAGCACCCACATGTGCACCCTAAAACAGGGTGTAGGGTGGGTTGGGGCACTTCACCCACCAGCTCATATAAAGGATGGGATGGAGGGGACAGGCTATGCCGGGCAAGGGCCTAGTATCCGCTGGCATGTGTGAAGATCTAGTTTGGGAGTGGGCCTGGTGGGAGAACTTGGGAAACTCCCGTGGTGGGCCACAGTTCCTGCTGGAGAGCACGTGGTTCAGGCCTGGGCGTTAGGCAGGTCGGGCAGGGTAGCTCCGCCTGTCGGCAAGTGTGTGGGTTGGTTTTGGAAGCGGGCAGACGGGTCAGGATTGAACAAACCTTAGCCAGCTCAATGATAAATACAAGAGCTAGGCTGGAGTGTGGGTCATGCTGGGCTAGGCTATCACATCTATCGGGCTGCATGAGCCAGGGAGGGGAGCAGACTGAGCAGGGCCATGTTGCAGCATCCACCAGCAAGAGCTGGGACTGAAAGCAAAAGACAGGTTAGAGCTGGGTCAGAGCAACCACTGGCATGTGTGAGGTCTGAGGCTGGGATCAGGCCTGGTTGGCGAGCTAAGGGAATGCCCTGGCTGGGTGGTAGATCTCACTGGTGAGTGTGGGGGCAGCAGAGGGAGCTGCGATCTGATCTGGACGAGACTGTAGTGTCCCTTGGCACAGCTGTGGACTGGATCTGGGGTGTGCCAGACTGGGCTAGACCTCTGTTCCTGCTGAGCCATGTGTGAGCTGTGTCTGGGTGTAGATCAGGTTTGGCTGGGCTGTTGTACCCAACAATGAGCCAGAATTGGTGCAGGCTGGTTAGGAAAGGCCACTGTTTCTGCTAGGACAGGAGGTGGTCTAAATTGGGCTGGGCCGTAGACGCAATGGTATGCGTGAAATTTGGCACTGGGAAGGTTGTGATGGAGGAGCTTGGGGAACCCCTCTGTCAGGACGCAATCCCTGCAGGTGGGCGCAAGAACCAAGTCTGGGAGCAGCTTAGACCAGACCAGTTCATATCGCTGGCTGATCTGAGAACCAGAATGGAGCACAGGATAAGCAGGGTTGGGCCACAACACCAGCCAGTTTACAAGAGGGCTGGAACTGGGGGCTCGCTGGGCTGGGCCAGGCTACAGCAGCCAATGGCAAATGCTGAGGTGAGGCAAGCCATGCCAGTTGGGCCATAGTGCACAACCACAAAGCAGTGGACAGCATACGCCAGAGTGGGCGCTGACACTGGGGGCTAAACTGCAGAACCACCTGGAGAGTGCAAGAATCCAGAGTAGGAGTGGGCCCATTAAGGAAACAGTGGGCACCTTCCTCTTGGGTTGCTACTCCCACTGGTGAACATGAGAACTACGACTGGGGGACTGGCATGGCTAGACAGAGTGGCACCCGCCTGCACTAGTGTGGGCTAGATAGTGGGGCTGGTTGGGTTCAACTAGACTTCAATGCCCATTGACATATATAAGAGCTGAAAGGGATGTGGGACAGATGGTCGGCCAGTCTGTTGTACCTACTGGCAAGCACGGGAACCAGGGCAGGGGGCAGGCCTGGTGGGTGTTATTGGGGGGTCACCCAGTCTACGCTGTAACACCCACTGGTTTGCAGACATGGGGCTGGAGACAGAACTGACCAGGCATTTGCTTGACAGAATTCTGTCACCAGTGTGTGTGTAGGCTAATTTGGGCGAAAGATTGCGCCAGGTCCTGTATTGGCAAGCACATACAAGAATCAGGTCTGGGATCACCTCAGATGAAGTTTCTTGGGGGATTTCCCCCCAACTGAATTGCTGGACTCGGAACTCCAACCATGGGGAGGAACTGCAGGTAACATGGTCTGCCCGCGGAGAGCATGAGTCAGAGCTGGGCTTCCTCAGCGGCTTCCACTTGGCTTAGTCAGCCACTGTGGCCAGCTGGGAGTGATCGGCGGGAAGTGCCATCTGTAACTCTACCTTTCAAATCAATCTTTTTTTTTTCTTGGTAAGATTTACTTATTGTTTGAAAGACTTCCCCTTGCGTGTGCCAGGATCCCAAGAGTACTGGTTCCTGTCCAAGCTGCTCCATGATTTGGGGAGTGAACCAGCAAATGGGAAATCTTTCTGTGCCTCCTCTCTGTAAATCTGCCTTTCCAATAACAATAAATAAATCCTAAAAAGAATAGAAAAGAAAAAAGTGAGTTGGATGGGATGCTCATATGTGATGCTAGCGTCACAGGTAGCAGGTTTATCCAATACAGCGCCAACACTGGCCCTTCTCTATTATTTTTTAAAGAATTCTTTCTTTCTTTTTTTTTTTTTTCAAAGTCAGATATACAGGGAGGAGGAGAGTCAGAGAAGATCTTCTATCTGTTGACAACCCCCAAGTGGCCACAATGGCCAACGCTGTGCCGATCCAAAGCCAGGAGCCAGGAACTTCCTCCAGGTCTCCCACACAGGTGCAGGATCCCAAGGCTTTGGGCCGTCCTCCACTGCTTTCCCAGGCCACAAGCAGGGAGCTGGATGGGAAATGGGATGGTTCGGATTAGAACCAGGGCCCATATGAGATCCCGGCATGTTCAAGGTTAAAACTTTAGCTACTAGGCCACCACGCTGGGCCCTTGGCCCACATTCTTGGGCCCATGCACCCTTGCAGAAGACCTGGAAGTTCCCGGCTCACACTGGCTCAACTCTGGGTGTTGCAGCCCATTTGGGAAAGTGAACCAGTAGATAGAAGACTCTCTTTCCTCTCTGTAAAATCTGCATTTCAATATTTTTAAAATGTACTTTTACTTTGATAACCTGCTCGTTCACTCCTGAAATGGCTGTAACAACTGAAGCTGGGTTGATCCAAAGCCAGGAGCTTCTTCCAGGTCTCCCACATGGGTACAGGAGTCCAAGGTTTTGGGCCGTCCCTTACCTCTTTCCTAGGCCACAAGCAGTGAGCTGGATGGGAAGTGGAGTAGCTGGGACTTGATCCAGCATCTATACTGATGCCAGTGCTGCAGGCAGAGGAACTCAATCCAGG